AGCTTTTTAAGAAGCCTTTTACAGTTTGAGTCTAAGCACAGAACAATTTCCAAATGTATAGACGTTGGCAGTACTTGATGAGTTGATAATCAGATGAACAGTGTAGACAGTCAGCCCTTCACATAGCGTGTTGCCAAAGTTGCAAGAGGCATGGGAGGGGTTCACATATTTTTGTTTTGTTTTTACTGCCAGCTGCTATACTGCTGTGGTGTTTAAAGACAGTGCCAAATACAGGGTTTTAAAGGTTCTCCTATAATTATATCAGATAGAGAAAGGGCAGGGCATGCTTTAACACTGAATCCTTCCTTATGCATTTACGGCCTGGCTCGAGACTTGAGAAGTTTTAACACCTTGCAGAATTGCCTTCCTAGCAAGGCTTGTATTGCCCCGGCCATACACATTTGTGATCATGTTCACATTCTTCTAGTGGACTATAATTATTTCTTAAATGTGGCATGGAATTAACTTCAAACTCCCTAAGTTATCTAGTGACTTTTAAAGGGTTTTATATAATAATACTTGTATCCTCATTGACCACTGTTACCTTAATTGCTTTAAGGGTTTTTCTTTAAAAGCATTAAGCATTTAAAGTGAAACACTAGCACCTTATCATTCCCCAGTTATTTGACCTATATGCAGGACAACCAATTGAAAAATGTACTATCATGCCTAAGATACAGGCTATAGTAGTGTTGAGCATGACAGTAGGAATTTGATCAGGGAAAGGCATGCTGGAGAGCTAAAAAAGCCTCTCTGAATAGGTATCTGAGACCGAATTCCTAAATTCCCTTGTCCTTAGCTTCCTAGGCAGCTAATTCCTACCCCTCTTCACTAGATATTTTCCACTAGATAATTTTCTTCACTCCAAAGCCTCTCTTTCAGTTGTAATAGGTGTTTCCAAAGTAGCAGGGAGCTCTCTTAGCATTCCTTCTTTAATACTGGTTAAATGTAATCTAAAAACCAGTCATCACCTCTCTCACCTCATTTACTCTAACAACCTCCCACGTGCTCTGACAAATCTTTTCACAAAAATTGCATACTTTCTAAGCATTCTTGCAAATCAGGAAATGCAGTGTAAAAGTTTCTCACTCTGTTTTTTAATGTCTCCAGTGACTTCCCTTTTCTACTTTATAAAGCAAAGTGATCTAGTCTTCACTTTATGATCCTTTGTAAACTCCTAGTCCAAGCAAGCCCCTTTATATTCATATATACCTAGGCATTAACTTCTATCTGTATTCTGATGATACTACTATTGCTATTTCTCATATTTTCAAAAAACACATTCTATTTTCTCCTATCCTGCCTGCTATTTTTGAAAAGACAGACAATCACAGGGCTGTTTGGTTTTGTGTCTTCCTCCAAATGTCGCCATGGAATTCTTGACGTCTTGAAGAACTCATACAATATGAGCTCTGGTAATAGATTTTCCATAACTATTTTCTTATACTCTGCTTTGATGCATCTTGGGTTCTCGTTTTCCTGAAGTACCTGAACTCTGTTGTCCTGAATGAGTAAAATAATCTAGCCACTGACTTAGTATGAGATAATATGATATGCTGCAAAAATGCATTCTGGCATATCTCTAAGCCTGGCGTTCATTTAGTTTCTTGCCCTCTAAGTTAGTTTGACATTTCTGGCAGACAGTCTGTCTTGAATTATTTTGCTTTAATGTCTAGGTAGAATATCTGAAATAAAGCATAGCTATATAACCTCATTTTCTTATGCAGTAATTGCTGCCTTTTCACCTTATTGCATACAGAAAGATCACACAGAAATCACATTATAAAAACAAAAAAAAACAAGTCTTGGACATGGAAACCTGTCTTATATTTGCTGAACAATTAAGTTTCTTGTTAAGAAAGGTTTGATACCATATTCAGTATGTGACCTGAAACATCTTTCAACTACCCCACACAATGCTAGACATTTGGGGCATTTCTCTAGCTTTGTTTTCCAACCATTCTTTTCAGTAGAAGTTGTGGAAATGTACTACATACCAAAACTATGTATCAAAGTGCACATGCTGCATAACTGTATTTGAACACTCTCCTAAAAGCAGTGCCTGTTGGTCCATTTGCAGGTGTGGTATCACTTAGTTTTCATAGCAACTTGAGTAGCACCTTGCACAATGGTAAAAAAACTGAGGCATTTGCAAAACTATTTTTGAATTAATAGGGTGGCACATGTCTGTAAGAGGTCATATTCCAGCCTCCTTTTCAAAAACAGATTAAAACCACCTGGAACCTCTTCATGCTTTGATGCCACTGTAGTTCATGTGGAACAGTGGAACATAAGCCATGGGCCATGGAAAAGAATAATTGTAAGTAAACGGAGTGAAATGGAATAGGATGCACCACAGCCATAAAAGGAAAATGAAAAAGACGTTGTATTGCTAGACAAAGGGCCTAGTAGAAAACAGTAAATTAAATCATATTCTGCACACAAATAACATGCAAGTGTTAACATGTATTCAACATCTGAACAGCTTTGGAATATAAGACATTATTTAGTGTTATTGTTATTTCTTAACTTTGAACAGAAAGTGCATTATTTGTCTCCCAAAGCACCCAAATCAAACATTCACAGAGTCATTTAAGATCTCTTCATGCCTGTGAATTCAGATAATCGTTGTCATATTTTTGAGTCTAGCTAGCATCACTGCCTCTAAATTCAAATGTATTTTGCCAAGGTTGGATAATAAATCCCTTGGACAACTGTTAGAGCATCTTTCAGTGAAAAAAAAAAAAAAAAATCTTAAATGTGATATGATTTGGTTCAACTCTACCATCGAATACTGCAACATTAGTTTTAACTATCCCACATTTTCTTAAATGAGCTTAGCAGCTTCTTTCACACACAGAATAAGTTACTCAAAGCATATGCCCTGTCTTCTGTCAGCTGGCCACTTAGGAAGATAGGTCCTTGAATGAAACCATGGAAAGAGCCCATTCAGGCAATAAAACCAGAGTTAGAAGCCCTGGGTTAGTTTATCACAATACTTTTAAACTATTTCAACATACGATACCCAGCATTACATTCAACCAAACTGATCTTTGGGACACAAGCTTGTAAGATTTGTTTTACAGAAACACTGTGTGCACTCAGCTCTTAAAGCATTCCAGCATCTCAGAAGATTCCGGATTGTTTTTAACATTCATGCCAAGTTACCAACAACTTAGAAAGTGCAGTTGCCAAAGGTCATTCCAGCTACAGCTGTTTGGAAACACAGAGGGGGTTTATTGATCTTTTCCTTTGCTTAGCACTTGAAAAAATACTAGTATGTCCTAGAAATAAAGACTATGACCGATGTTGATCATGACTTGCCCAAAGGGGGTGGGGAGGGGGCTTTTGGGGGTTGGGTTGAGAGTGAAAGACTCCACTGTAAGGCTTTTGTTAGGTCTCTAATGTGGTAATATTTTTGTCATGATGCGCCTTTGACCTGACATTATACTTGTCTCTCAACAAATCAGGGAAGCTGGCTCAGCTGGTTGGGAAAGAGCTCATTAGGCATGGCACTTTAGGTGGCACAAGTTTCACAGCTCCAAAGCAATCTGGAGGCCTCACAGAAACACAGGTATCATATTCAAACAAATCACTAACCCCAGAGGCCAGCTCCAACTGCTTTTATGAAGTGAATCATGATCTTTAGGAAAACTAAATGGCTGCAGTCCAATTTAGCAGCTGGATTGTATTAGTTCACATTTTTAAGGACAAAGGTTATAATAACAAGATCTTGTGTTACTCAATTTACTCAATTAGGTAACATAGTTACCTTAATGGTTCTCTAACAGTTTGCTGGTGTTAGAAACAATATAATTTGTTTCTTCTAGGTAGTACAAAAGAAAGACATTCCATACATGAAGGCAACCTGGTAGAAAATAGGCAGCTGGAACTAGAGATGGACAAAATAGGCACACTGTTGCTGAGAAGGAAGTTAAAATGGCAACAAGCATTAATGATAGAGGTGAAGTCTGAGTCAGAGTACTTCAGGGCTGAAAACACAAGCAAAAAGTTTAAAACTGGTATACCAGGCAAAAGAAAACAGAGAACCCAAAAGACAGCCATGTGTTCATACACACACATGCGCACATGATGTACATATGTTCATACAGATGAAGACTGGAGCAATGGACTTTTCGCATCTACCCAACACTCCACAACATTGTTATTTTCTACGAGATGCCATTGTGAATCTCATAACAAGCTAACAAACAAGAAAATTTATTTAATCTTTTAAACCATTAAGGTTGCTCTTATTTCTACTGCATTGATAAATTTTAGTTGCATATAAATCACATCATGTAACAGAATTTGGCTTATAAACTGTAATAGTGGTTAAACATATTTTAAGGTACAATCAGGTTAGCCATAGAGCTGAAAATGTCTACAAAGTACTTATATCAATAAGTCTGATATCAGTAACTTCTAATGGCTGGGTTTTTATCATACACAGTAATTCTACTCATTGACAGACTGAAAGGGAGAAGGCTGGTAGGGTATTGTGAAGTGTGAATAAAAGGTACTGTGTTTGTTTTTTTTCCGAAGCTGAACTTTCTTTTAATTCCTCACCCCGCTGCTCACACAACTTGGGCCAACCAAAACGTACACGGCCTTAAGAGCTGCCAACAACCCTTATCACAGCTGGTAGCCGATTCTCACGCGATTTATGGAGGTGCAAAGGCTTTTCTCCCACGCCAAGAGGAGCGGCGGGTGCCCCAGACCCCTGCCCTGGGGCCGCCGGAGGGGATCCAGTCGTCGCTGGCAGCCTGGGGACTGAAGAGGGGCTGAAGTTGATCCCCTCTCTGGCCCTTCAGCTTTGGGGGTAATCTAGGCACTCGGGAGAACGATCTAATGACCTACTCCACCCTTGCTCCCTCCGCCCAGGCTGCTCCGGGCTGCCCTCGGTCACACGAGAGGGGAGCGAGGGGGAATGAGCTCCGCGGCGGCGGCAGGAGGAGGAGGGAAAAAGGGAGGGCAGGAGGGAGGGAGGGAGAGAGCGAGTGAGCGAGCGAGCGAGCGAAGGAGGGAGGAAACCGGGCAGGTGACACCGCGCTAGGTTGGCTCCGGCTCGGCGGGAGCGGAGCCGGCAGCGGAGGCCATGCACGTCAATGGGAAGGTGGCTCTTGTCACCGGCGGGGCGCAGGGCATCGGCCGGGCTTTCGTCCAGGCGCTACTGGGCAAGGGCGCCAAGGTAAGCTCCGGGAGGAGCCCCTGCTCTCCCCTCCGTCTCCCGCCTTGCCTCTCCTCCCGGCACCCGCTAGCGGGGGGCGGCGGCGGCAGCCCCCGAGCTCTCCTCGGTGGGGGACCCGTCAGTCTGTCCGTCTGCTCACCCGCCGCTCGTTCCCCGCTCAGGTGGCCCTGCTGGATCGCAACTCCGAGGCTGGGCAGGAGAGCAAGGCGGCCCTGGACGAGCAGTTTGAAGCGCAGAGGACGATGTTCATCCAGTGCGACGTTACGGACCAGGAGCAGCTGAAAGGTAAGAAGGAAACTGTCAGCGCTGGGCTCCGGCTTAACATGCAGCAACCTGAAGGAGCCTGGGCTGCTGTACCAATAAGTGTGCAATTAAGGTTTCTGGAGGACAGCCTACTCCCAATCTCTTCTGACAGTGACTCAAAAAGGGTTTGTTTCTGAACCTGCAGATGTGAAATATTGCTACCAGCATGCATGTATTTCACTGTGTTACTTGGCACATCGTAAAGAAAAGCCAAAGAAACCATTTTCATTGAGCGCTCTGTGTGATATTTTTGCATGAAAGCCTCTACAGGAGATAATTGTTATTTTATGAGTAATATATATATAAACTTTAAAGCACGGACTGGCTTTTTATGAGGCTTCAGTACCGACTCCAAGCTGCATTCCCTCGTCACAGGAGTAATAAATTCTGCTCTGGGTTGCACTGCTCTTTCCATGCAGCACAATTACTTTCAACGTGTGCTGCTGTAGCTGAAAGCTGGGCTGGCAAAAGATGGCACGCTGCTTTACACAGTGTTAAGTATGGGTTGATAACATTTCACACACATTTTGCAGATGCAGAGAATGGCATAGAGTTTCCCTCAGGCGTAATCTGCATTTGTTTTCACTTAGTGAATATGTCGTGCTCCCTACTGAGCTCTTAGAGTATCATGTAACATCGATGTGCTATTTACAGTATTTCATATCGGGCACATCACTTCTCAAAGTTTCATTATTAAATGATGAATTCATAGGTAGTGACTCAGATTCAGATTTTGACATCGCTTTTGTCAGTGCCCGTTCCACAGAGTAATTTTTTGCTAGGCTAGATGTGAACATTTTTAGTTCTGCTTTTGTTCACTACACTTAACTGGCCGCTTTCTCAACAGCAGCAGCGATTGAGCATATCCATTACTCTTTCACAAATCATTGCAACCAGTTCAGTATTCGGCAATAGTCTTCACCACTCCAGCCTAATATGATTATGCTTAATTCCAAATCTTTACATTGTCTGTCCATAAGAGAGGTGTTGGACTTTAAATCTGAGCTCTGCTCTAATCGACAAGCAAAGTTTTTATCAGGTAGGCTGATTATTGACTTTTTCTGCAAGTGGGAGGAGCAAACCAGGAGCAAGAAAAAGCATCCAAGAGGTAGGAATAGCATGTGCTGCAGGTTGGGTGTTACCTCAGTGTGCTTTCTCCCCCACGATCACTCCTTCCTTTAGTGCCAGCTGGCTGGTGCAAGACCAACAGGGGTGCATGTGGGGAACTGGAGGGAGCAGGACAGGTCTGCAGGGGAGGTTTTGGAACTATGTTAGTAGGAGAAGAGCAATCAGAATAGGATAAAAATGGGCTCTCGCAAAGAATGAGAGCAAGAACTTATGCTTCTCTGATACTGCATTAATCCTGATGCAGGAAGCACAAATTTGCAATCCTGTTTTACAATCCTTTGGGGTTTCTGGGGCATTTTTTAGTGATTTTGTTTGTTATGATTACTCTTATTGCTTTATTTTCCTAATTTTGCACTTGCAATTACAAGCCACTACTTAATAAACTTAGATTAATTTCATTCTAGTGTTTAAAGTTCTTAGTGGATGCATTAAGTCCTGTACTTGTCCTTTATGTGAAAGGTCATGTGTATGAAAGAAGTTCCTCTTATTTTAACTTTAGCCCTTTTGGTATGATACAAGTCGCAGTACTAGAACTAGTATCTGTAAGGCTTATGGGTAGGAAATTAGCTGCTTCATCTACTTTCAAGTCTTGCCTCTGCTTTTTTCTTTAGTGGGTTTTTCACACAGTCACCCACAAAAATCTGACTTGTCCTACTTTTGAAAAACCACCATACGTGTACTTTTGCTCTCTATGAATGTTTAAGAAGCTCACTGGTGTCTGTACCTACTTTCCACTCTTTCTTACCTCTCCTCTAAAATGGATATTCCTCTTAATTTTTCATTTTTCTTCATAAAGTATTTTATATGACCACCTGCTTTTAATTTTTATGATTCGATAAGCACTAACTAGCGTGCAATGTAAACACAGGATTATTCTACATTCAAAAGGGGAAGAACAAGTCAGTTTAAACTGATGTGCAGGTGATAACTTTATAAAGGATTTATAAAGAGATTCTTTTTGTTTATAGGGAACATATGGGATTACTGTAGGAAGGTAAACTTTCATGAGAAAAATTCCAAATTTGGTAATCGTTCTTTATTTGGATATGAAAACACTTGAAAAGCATTTGGATCATTTCTCGGTGTGTAAACTAGAAAACCACAATTAGTTAAGACTGCATAGATTTAGCAAATAGGCAAAGTGCAATTATCCATAGGGGGCTTTGAAGACAAAATATTCTGTTAAGAATGAGGTTGATAAAAGATGCTATTTCTTTGCTATGCAAAATCTGGAAGTTCTTTTGTACTTATTTTACTCACTGAACCTATATTAAATTATCAGTTCTGTTCCTGATAAAGCCAAAGGTTTTCATGTGACCATACTGATGTAGGATTGAAAAGATGAGAAGTGATTGCAGAGTTAAGTAGAGAAACCAGAGAATGAATTAGCAACAAACATAGCAGAAGCCAAAAAGGCGGACAGCCAAAAATAGAGTTTTAGTAATATTAAAGTATTCTAGTACAGAATAAGAATATTAGAAAAAGCTGTACAATAAAGGCAGTTGAACAAATAAAACCTCTCCCATCAGCTGCCCAGCTCTTCTTGTTCTGATGACAAGATGATGACTGAGATGGACCTGCAGCATTCAGGCAAAGAAAAGGCTGTAGCAGTACCGACCATCTGGTGCAAGGAAAAAAACTTTGTAAGCCCCTGCAACTGCTGCAAAAAGGTACATGTCTCAAAGCTGTTGCTATGCTCATGGTTGACACTAATAGCCAAAGAGTAAAGGTCAGAGAATTAAGATGGTCCTGGGATTACCTGTTAATGAAGTGGTTTAATTAAGTCCTGTCACGCATAATTTCAGCATACCTGAAATATCCTAAGGTGGGGGGGGGGGGGGGGTGTGTTTCAGTCACCAAATGATATTTTTTAAAATAATATGAGAGAGCGGGACATCTTGTTTACATAATAAATATTTAGTGAGGAGGAACAGTATTTAGAGGGAAAAAAGAAAAAAAAACCCTGAGCTGTATATGCGTGTAGATAATGTCTGCAGTAGTGGAAAATCTTAGTCTGGAATGAACATCTGGAGGTCATCTCTTCCAACTATCCTGTCAAAGCAGGAGCCAGCCTAGATGAGTTTGCTCATCATTATGACATCATCATGTTTTTCCATACACATCTTTTATCTTAGTTCAAACACTGTCACCTGGGAGAACACAATGTGATTGTGGAAGTTTCCCAGTTCTTTATTTTGAAATTCTTTGGAAGAGGGGTCACTATTTTCACCCACAAGAGGAAGAAGATTTGAATTTGAGAAACACATTATTAAAGTTACCTAACAAGTAAGAGGTATAGGAATTTATCCATTTATGCTGAATTATTTGTAATTGAAAGAGTCATACTAGTTGCATCACTGAATAAGAATTGGGTTCTTAGGTTGAATTCAGACTCAACCAAGAAAACAGTTCCAAACGCAAGGCCTTTTATTTTGCATTTAAAATAGATGATGCCAAATCTTGAATTCACCAGATATATCAAGCTATTACAAATCAAGCTATAAATGTTTAATTTATATATTAGGGTGTCAAATATCCTAATATAAAATGTATGGGTGCTAGGAAATTTCATAAACTCCTGTTATCAGGCATTATAAAACTGAATGAAAAGGCAACTATGGTATCTTGATTCTTTATTTTTTCCTGAATATGTTTAACATATGTTAGACAAAGAACTTCATTTCATATTGCTCATTAGTTGTTAAGAAAACAGTGAAGACATTTTGGTAGACTAAAAGAACATAAATTTGTATGCATGCATTGTATTTTTAGGTCTTACTTTCCATAAGTGCTAAGAAATTTCACCCTTGGATCTTACTATAGGTGCTTTCAGAAAGGTAATTGAACATTTTGGAAGGCTGGATATTGTGGTTAATAATGCTGGAGTGAACAATGAGAAGGACTGGGAAAGCACTATACAAATTAACTTGGTAAGCATTATCTCCTTTCACATGTTCATACTTCAGTATTTAATGCTGGAATACACTTAACAGCCCTTGGCTGGTACAGGCTGTGCCATATCACAGAACAATGTTTACTGGATTAGTAAGCACAGCTATTGAAACAATAACCACATAACTACATATGTACTAATATGTGTGTGTGTGGTGGGTCCTTTAAGTTTCCTATCCAAGACATACAGAACTGTGTAGAGATACTCAGGCTAATACCAAACATTCTCTTTCTGTAAATCCCAACGGAATCCCAGGTTGGTGTAACAATTTGGTGCCAAAAGCAGAAGAGCCGCACCTAAAGGAGGCCAGTCTGTTTATATGAATGCTTTAGAACATTTAGTTCCTGTGAGACTCAGCTGGCCTGCATTAGAGAGTAAATTGCCATTTGTTGGTATTACAAGAAAACTTAAACCAAGAGATCTTCATTTGCTTCACCAATGAAGCAAGCATGCAATCTGAGCTTTTAATATAGGCCATTTCACCATCGTTCCTGACAGAAGCACACGACTTAAGAGCACTTACTAAATCCAGTACTTTCAATAAGCCTGTAAAATTTATTTTCAGACTATTACCAGTTCTTTGATATTATCTGGTATCTCCTCAGGTGAGACCACAATATCTGTTTCTCAGGCAGAAAAACATTAATTTAGACTACGCTGCTAGGAGAGCTAAGCTCCAAAGGAAAGGTTAGCTTTCCAGGTTAGTAAAATTCTGACTAGCTTGTATTTTGCCACATGTGAAGTTCTAATTTGATGGCAATTCAACAAGTCACCTCTGACCATCCTCACAGTGCGTTACCATCATGATCTGCAAAGAAAGTAGCAAAAGGAAGCTTGTAAGAGTGGAGTTTTCTCCAATTAATCATTTGGAATTTGTCAATGCAAAATAAAAGCTCATAATAAGAAAATTAAGAGTTTGTTTTTGAGGAAAGTTTTAAGGACAAAGATACCCAAGTCTTTGAATCCTAATGACTCTATGAAAATGAACTAACTAAAAAACCCCAGCAAAATAAAAAAACCAACCAAACAAAACCAAAACCAGGAAAAGCAGCACAAGCTGTATATGAGACAAGTTACAGAAAAAAATAATGGGAAAAAAGTTAGAATTTAATATTTTTTTTTCTGATCTTTAGTATCTATCCAAGGTCAGGTTTCCTTATCTTGGAAGGGACTGAACTTAGACCACAGATTAAAATTTTTGTGATAGGAGAAATACATTTGTTCAATTTCCTTTGTCTTTTCTTTACATTTTCTTTAAGACTTAACTGAATACATTTCTTCCTCTTTCATTTCTAAAATATTCTGACAAATTAAACATCAGTAAAATTTACACTGTGAAGTAGCAGGAATGTGGCATCCTCAGTGCTATGCAATATCAATATCTATTAGTACAGATCCCTTGAATTTGAAAGAATAATTTAGCTGTGTTCAGGGTGAATTATTTCTCTATTTTAATGCCTGGTTTAATACAGGATATAAGTTACTGTAGGCAGCCATCTACCTGTCAAAATTTCAAGCACAGATAGTCATTAGCAGAAAAACTGAAGTCCATGGGAAACACATTTGTCTGTGATTCAAATTAAATCTAGCTCAAAAAATGAAGGCGTATTTGTGCAGCATCTCTTGAAGATATTTAATGTCCAGGTAGATTTCCTAATTTAGAGTGATGACCAAGTAATTTTTCAAATTCCAAGACCTTCAAACAGAAGGCATTGAGAACCTCTTTTGCTATTTTGCAGACACCACCAAGTTGGGTGGGACTGTTGGTCTGCTGGAGGGTAGGAAGGCTATGCAGAGGGACCTGGACAGGTTGGATTGATGGGCTGAAGCCAATTGTCTGAAGTTCCGCAAAGCTCAGTGTCAGGTCCTGTGCTTGGGTCACAACAGCCCCATATAATGTTCCAGGCTTTGGGAATTGTGGCTGGGAAGCTGCTCAGCAGAAAAGGACCTGGGGGTGTTGGTCAACAGCAGCTGAACATGAGTCAGCTTCTGCCCAGGTAGCCAAGGCAGTCAACAGCATCCTGGCCTGTATCAGGAATAGCATAGCCTGGTTTCCTAGCCAGGACTAGGGAAGTGGTTGTCCCCTTGTACTGGATACTGGTGAGGCTGCACCTAGAATACTGAGTTGAGTTCTGGCTCCTCACTACAAGAGAGATAGGTGCTGGAGCAGGTCCAGAGAAGGGCAACAAAGCTGGTGAAGGGTCTGGAGCACAAGTCTGATGAGGAAGGGCGGAGGGAAGTGGGGTTGTTTAGCCAGGAGAAAAAGAGGCTCAGGGGAGATCTTGTCACTCTACAGCTATCTGAAAAGAGGTTGTAGTGAGGTGGGTGTTGGTCTTTTCTCCCAAGTCACAAGGGATTGGACATGAGGTAAAGGCCTCAAGTTGTGCCAGGGGAGGTTTAGGTTGGATATTAGGAAAAATTTCTTCACCAAAAGGATTGTGAAGCACTGGAAGAGGCTGCCCAGGAAAATGGTTGAGCCACTGTCCCTGATGGTATTTAAAATACAGGTAGATGTGGTGCTTAGGGACATGTTTAGAGGTGGACTTGGCAATGCTGGGTTAACAGCTGGACTCAATGGCCTTAAGGGTCATTTCCAATCTAAGTGATTCTGTTTCTACTCTTTTTTGTGTGTCTTATTACCAGTGACTGGGCTGAAGCCAACCATAGGTGGGTAAAAAAAAAAAAAACAAAGTCATGGTGTTTATACATTATTGTATAGATAAATTCCCCATAAATGTCCTCCTGACTTAATCCATGGGTAAGAGTTGAAAGATTTTATCAATACATGCCAGTGACTGGATTAAGAATGTCTAAAATGATCAAGAAAAGTACACCCGTGTAGGTTAAATCAAGGACACGAAGATCATTTCTCTTTAATTTTCTTTCCTCTAAGAAAGTCTAAACTTGAGTTGACTAAGTCATTTATTTCTATTTAGTTGCTGTAGCTTCCATAAACTAATACATAACATGTTGTACTTTTTGCTTTTTAACGATAACAATAAAAGAATAACAGCTGCTGCATGTAATATGTTATATTGGTTGGTTCCAGAAATATTTTTTTCTTATTGTAAAGAAAGGAGCAAAACATATAGAAAAAAACATTATCTTAAAATGCCTCTATTTCCCTGATATCATATCCTTTGCATTATCACCAAGAACAGGCATAACTTCTATGGCCACACATTTTGATGCACATTATGCATATATTTTTTATTTGAACAAAGGGGGAGGGGGAAATTCTTACCATGCCAGTCTTCGTCTTAGTGATATAATTTATATATCAATACAACAAATATTCCCTGCCTCAGTTTAAAGTACAAAGTACAAAACTAGAGTAGTACAGAGCAAGATAAATTGGAATAAACACGTGTGGGGTGTGTTCTTTATGGCTAAAACAGTTCACAGAACCGGTTGGTCTTCGGGAATATTTTAAAAGGAGTGTAAGGAAGTTCCCTGGTACTACTGCTTGAGAAAACTTGAAAAGCAGAAACTAAGAAGAAGGTTCAAAAAGTGGGACTTAATTCAGAAGGAAAAAGGGATATAATAAACAATTCCTACCTGTATTCATTACAGTTTTCTAAGTGCAAGAAAAGACGTCATGATAAAGTGGGGGGAGTCAGAGAGAAGTATCAACCACTAAAAAGAATTTCTGTTGCAGTGCTTTTTACCATTTTGCTGTATTTTGTGCTAAACAACATCACCTTTTCATTACTTTACTAATATTTCTAATAACCTTTTTAGTTCATATTCCAGCAATGCCATCTATTCCTCATCTCAAAATTCCAAAGCTGATAAGTGTTGACTTGATCGATATCAACTTGATCAATGGCAGCTTCAACTACTCATTCCCTTACAAATGTACATTATTGTTATTATAGTATAGAAGACAAGATCTTGGCAAACATACAAGAATTTAATTTTAAATGTATATTACTAATATCATTTCAAAAGTCCATCACAAACACACCCATGTACAGACTAGGGCAAGGACATGTGACACATACAGTCTTATCAAGAGTCCTACCTGCAGTCCTCCAGCATGATAAGAACAGTGTTTCTTGCATTCAGCTTTATAAGAACTTATGCCTAAGGAATCCAGAAATTTTATAATCTGATTTTTTTTTTTTTTTCCCCTTAAGTCTCTAAAAAAAATATCCACATCTTTCTGGGCCTTGCACATATATGTTGGTTAAATACAATCTGGTGTTCAAATAAGCTTCCCTAATTTTATCTTGTGTTGATGATGTAGGCTTTCTGGAACCACTGTAATTAAAGTAGATGCTATAATTACAGCATCTTTTCCCTTTACAAATGCACTTAGCACATTTTACACTAAGACAATCCCCAAAATTACTTTCAGGTTCCTTCTTCATGCTTTTATCAGAGGTTTCTGAAAACTGACATAGGTTGCTAAATGCAGTTAAATGTAGCAGTACTGGTATCACAATATGCTTACATTCTAATTACCTGAATCAAAAGTACCAAAGCACTTTACATATCATTTTAACTATCTTATTGTTTTTTTATGCTGACATATTAATTATTTTGCAGATATATTCAAACCAGTTCCCAAATGAAATTAGACTCATGAAAGGATTTGACAGCAAAATCATAATTAACTCCTGTTTATGTGGTGATTTTGCACATTTTAACAGATTATTCTGGTAAAACTTTAAATTGCAGGCCATAACTTGGTCATGTCAAAAAACAGTCATATGAGATTCGAGTATTAAAGTGATGGCCAAACACAAGTAGAATTCAAACACACATGTAAGATTTGTTCAGGTGCGTGACAGTCTCATCCTACATTACTAGGCAAAATGTGGTAATACCCAACAATTCCAAATTTTTACATTTTTCATGGCATTGCATAATTAGCTTCTATAAATGGCAAAGGTAACAAATTTCTGTGAATTTAGGAAAGTCCTTTCCTAAAACTAAGTCTACCTAATTCAGGCTTTGTCCCTGCAAAATAGA